ACACACAGACTGTGAGCGCTAGATGCCAGTGTTGACAGAGCTTCAACCCGCCCGATTGTGTCCTTTTGGAAAGCTGTTAAACGTTACTGCGACCTGAGGGGCGCACAATTTTCCTGACGTCACCAGGTGAAAAGAGCGGCGTTGGAGTGAACAGGACTCCAGCTTAGACATCGAATTGTGTAAGCCTCGCATGCCTCCTTCCTCACTTTTGCTTTCTTGTAACATCGGTGTCAGCAGTGTGGACCGACTCCGAACCAAACAAGTCTCCCACTCTCTCGCTTGCAGTTACCGTCCTTGGGGTTCAAGTTGGATTTGGAACACGTGGAAGTCGTCAGGATCGGTGCTGCAAAGACCATTCCTGCTCCCCTCTGAATGCACAAGCGAAATCCGGAAATGAATGTCACCAGCTGCTTGAGAATCCGATGAAGCGAGAACTAGGCTATAAAAGAATGAACCGTCGATTGCTTTCCGTCCACGTCATGGAGTAGAATGAACGAATATCGCTTCCACGAAGACACATGCACGCCAAACTTCAAAATAAACGACTTACTTTTGCTTGACTGAACTAGCTAAATGATGATGAAATTCAGTCTGTATTTGAGCTGTTGCACAAAACCGAACGTTTTACCCGGGGGAAAACTGACGTAACATCCTGTCTCAGTACGGTTGTAAACAAACTCAGTTAATGCCGAGATGATGAAAAGAAATCCGAAGTGGAGGGGTTTTGATGTTACTTTCTGCTGACAATGCAACATCAAGATCTCTCAGATTTGTATCCGGCTCTGTTGATCGGAATGACCGCAATGTCTACTTCAGAAGAAACCGACCTCTTAATAGATATTGCGTTGACCCTTCAAAGCCCAACTTTGATCAGGGCTGCCGACAGACTAGCTATACTTGGTGATCTCGATCGTGGATTTCATGGTGTTAACTAGTATAAAGTTGAAAAGCTGTTAGTTTCCACCATACTCAATTTTAGTTAACTAAACAAATCATTCTTTCAAACTGCATTTTGACATCTTGTGTTCGTATACCGCGGTCGTTCTATTAAAACAGGTCAGTTGTCAGTTTCCTGGTTGTTGCACGTTAAGTGCTTCAATTTGTGAGGAACATTGCACCGAAAAATTAGAAAATCCTTAGTATAACAGGACGAAGGGATTAAAACGGAAATCCAGTAGCGCACTGTACTTATCTCACGTGCAGTATGTGTCTGGTCGAGGGTTCCGAGGACTTCCGTGTCCACGACGTACGGGGGTCATCGTATACCGAGGGGGATGAAATGTAGAACCGATACTACGTCGGACAGTATCAGCACAACCACCGAGTAACCATGGCGCTTGATGAAAAGTGCTCCTGACTTGCAACACATGGCGAGTTAAACGGTGTTGTCACAACTACCGATATGCGACCACGCCTGAGGTGACTGGATGGATGGCGAAAACATGCACGACAGATCGCTTCTCTAACGACACTGAGGGCGATATGAGAAGGCAACTAGTAGAGGAAATGATAGTGGCATTCTAGGCTATGCTCGATGACATCTTAACAGTTGGCCTGCAACAACGACACTGACGCGCTACACCACACATCCTTACTCGTGACAGAAAAAGCAGTATGCTATTCCTGTCATTCGGATCCGTTCAATAATAAGTATATCGTGCAGTGAAACTGGCACTAAATACTACACCCCTCGATGCATTGATCACAAGGTCCTAGGTGACAATGCGTTTGTGAAATTCTCCAGTCGCCGACGACACCGAGTACCTCCATTCTTGGAATCCCAGCTGTCCACTTTCGGTTCAGTCGATTCACCGAGGGTTCAATGCTCAAGCGGAACCTGCATGGAACTGAAGGGAAAACGGGCTGCGATGTATGACCGTAGGCGTCTACCTTGGTCAACACAAGTTCGAGCCACTTCCACGCATCCAATGCAAGTTGCCCAACGCCGCAAATCTGATGGGCGATGCTGGCCAGTGGATAAGGCTAGTGGCTACTGACAAAGTACAGGTGATTAGGGAATTGTTCTTGGGTGGGAATGGGTCAAACAGTACACCAGAGGTGCACAAGATTACTACTTGAACTGAGGCGGCGAAGTAAATCCGCGCAGTGTTGATATGCCTCTGGATCTGCCCCAGAGTCGGCATCCAAAAGCAAAGCTATACAATGCTACGAACAACAAATCTCACTCTAATGGGTAATGAAATGTCTGCAACAATTCAAAATAAACAGTTTACTTGGCTCACAGGAGTTCTCGCTGCTACAGTTCAAAACCACTTGACTACAGCGGAGGGAGAAAGCGTGTATTACTCCTGGCGCCGATGTGTAGTATGGCCAAATCGGTTCCTTACAACACAGCTGGGCACCCTAAAAAGCAAACTGAAAATGAACAAAACGCTTTTACCTTGATCTGTCATCATCTCAGTGCTAAAAGTCAGTGTTGAAATGCTTTACCGAAGCGTTTGGGTACGCGGACCGGTGTTCGTAGGTTCATAGAAGCGTCGAGCTATCCTGACTCTCGGCTTTGTAAAGAGTATTTTCAATCAAGTTCCGAGAGTTTACACACGCGCATATTTAAAAATACAACCGTACACAATAGACACCATCAATCCTCAAGTTATCTCTGATAATGCAACATTTTCCACTTGATCGGATGAATTGAAGATTAGCCGGATATTGACAGTAGCTAGTGTCCAAGTAAGTTGTCAAGTCCACTTTAGACATGGAGAAGATGACTTGTCTCAGTTCGCTTTTCCCTGACAGAAAATTTGTACTGAAAAAGTGCCCATTGCTTTTAACACAAGTACTTATCATATTATTGCCTTGTTCGTCATCGTCGACGAAGACTGGCGCAGTATCCTTAGGGCAATCCGTAGGAGGCAATAAAAAGTAGATCGATTCACCTTGTATTAGTCTTACTCCTAAGCGAAATTTATCACCGATTCTGCCGGAATCATTGAGAACATAACACGAACCTCAGTATATCCACTCTGCTCCGCCTTGGGAACAAGATTTATCAGTGATAATTTGTGAATCAGCGTCCCAAGCGGTCCGATGCACAGCGATATCAACTCCGGAAGCCGATGGACCAATCCCGACATCTGAAGAACAAACCCTCAATTTTTCGGTAAGTACACCCAACAGAAAAAAATTAAGACCTTATTTTGTTGCTACTGAACACATTGAACATGTAGACCGAATTGGAAACTCCCAACTGTCCGGATCTAATGAAGAAGTAGACTCAAAATGTGGCAATGCGAATTTCAATGGTGCAATTTTTGGATCAACTGGAAGAATTCGACGCGTATTCTTTCAACACACATAACCTACAAATGCGCAAAACCTGCTTGAGCGTATAGAAAACAAACCGGAAATTACCATGCAAGTTGAAATTTATTAAATATTTTGTCACACAGTTGGATACCAAAGATTTTATCCAAAAACAATATTGCAGATTGCTAAATTTTTGCGCAAAATACTTATTTTCTTGATTCACACGCAAAGTCTGGTCATCAGCTTCGAACTCTGCAGTAAGAGTAGACTGTCAGCTACCTAATGAGGCATCGATATTTGCTATAACATCCAAGATAACGACACCACAGTACCATTTATCAGCCCAACCTCATTATCAACACTCATAGCTGTGGGGTAGAAGTGACGCGCGCGCGTGACGTGATCCATGTTACGTTGTGGTGTGGAATTGGACATACTTATGCACGTTTGCGCGCGCTTCACGGCTATTCGCTGTCCTGCGTTCTGTGCTGTGTCGATTCTCTACGCGTCATGTCTGCTGCTGCCGCACCCAAGCCGCCGAAGGCTGCCAAATCGAAGAAGGCACACGCTGACCATCCGCCCTACTTTGACATGGTTAAACACGCCATCAAAGAATTAAAGGAACGTAATGGTTCAAGCCGACAGGCTATTGCGAAATACATTAAAGCGCACTACAAAGTGGATGACAAGGCCGACCACCATTTGCGGAGGGCTCTGGTTACTGCTGTTAAGTCTGGCAAACTTGTTCATACTAAGGGGATGGGCGCATCCGGTTCTTTCAAGCTGGCCGAGAAGGCTGCTGCTCATGTCGCCGCACCTAAAGTTCACAAGGTAGCGAAAACACCGAAGAAAGTTGCAGCCAAAAAACCCAAAGCACCGAAACCTTCTTCTGCGAAGAAACCCAAGGCGCCGAAGCCAAAAGCTGCTAAACCTAAGAAGGCGAAAACACCCAAAAAGCCGAAGGTGAGTTTCCGGATTCCGAAGAACCTGTTCCCTTATCTGTTTGATTTATGTTCATTCGACTGCTTTTCCTTTCAGACCATAAAGCCAAAGAAGCCCGTGGCGAAGAAGACCCCGAAGAAAGCGGCGGCAAAGAAGGCCGCAAAGTAAATGTATCCATTCTTCCCCCTTGTACATATATTCCCGTTATCTCTGCTGTGTCTTAAAGTCCCGCTGGACTGTGTTCAGATCGTGTACCTTATTTATTTCTTGTATACTTAATATATGCTGCGAATGTCTCGCCCATCGGCCTCTTGTTTGATTTGATTCGGGTTTGTCGTGACCTTAACTTGGCACCTCGGTTGGAGGTGCTCGCTAGGTCGTCCTTCGCATCTGGGCGCGCAGTCGGTGCGTGGAGTTGTGTTACGTGCGCGACTAAGGGCCGGCATTTGTTGCGTACTTTTGCCGATGGAGTTCGTCTTCGGTTATGGTGTGTTGGTTTCCGCGCCACCACTTGTCCTATGTGATTTGTCGCGTTGGCTGGTTTCGTACGCCACTGTCTGTTGAGCTTACCCTCTCGTACATTCACAAATTGAGTTAGGGAGCCGTTCCCTTCGCATTTCGGTGGCCGTTGCGGACGGACTGTCGCCTTAGTTCGTTTGTCCCAACTGTGGTGGGATGTGTTGGTTTCAGATTGGGTTACTCGACAGTACTGGACATGCGCGTTGGCCGACCACGTCTCGTTCGCTCGACGAGGGATGGCGCAGTGCTTGAGGGGGCAGTAGCTGAGCGTGGTTATTGACGGTCAGACAGTGCTTTCTGATAAGGCTTTCATCTTCCATCCCAAACTTCTTGGTTTCATGGTGTGTGCTTCACTTGACGCAACCACCTCGGTTCGCGGCTGTCTTGTTCGAACCATCTAATGCTAGCTTGTGGGGTGAAATTCATAATCATGACGCGGGTCAGTGAAGGATGTCTCGTCAATATCTGATAGCTTGTGTGCCTTGCTGAATAGGTGCGCAGACGTCTTCTCCGGATGTTCGTGCCTATTTTCCCTAAGGGTTGCGTGGCAGCAGTACATCATTTCGGATCACTGATGCAATGGATGTGGTGTCAAGTATCTGCCAGTTCTGTCCCCATCTCTGAATGCATACCTTTGGTTCGACACTTGCTCTATGTTAGTGGTGAACGCACGGTCTCCCGTCCTTGTTCTCTGTGACTTCGGATCTAACCGCTCTCTGTTCCCAGCACCTTATGGATCCTACGCGGGAGTGCAACGGGACCTCGTTATCTCCCTCTCTGGCATCGGCGTTTGCCTGGCCCTGGTTCTCCTGTTACTTCTGGTCGCTTGGTGGCTCAAGTCTCGTCGCCGTCGCGCTCAACGGCTACTCGGGTGGCAGGAGAAACAGCGGTGGTTGATCCGGCATGCACAGAAAGCGAACGACCCTGCAACCCCGTACACTCCTTCCCGTTGTTCTTCTTTGGTTGATTTTTACGGACCAGCGGGTCCGGTGGTCGGTCAACTGACGCCTCACCAGCTGCACTTGTCCAAGGAGACTTTAGAATTCGAGGTGAGTTTCTCGTTGAGGTTGTGGAGTTTTAGCGGTCATAGTTTTCGCGTGGTCTTCATTTGTGGTAGGGGTTGTGGCACCGAAGGGGATATCCTGCATGCCGTGACTGCTTTTCAGACGTGGCTTGTAACAATTTCCCAGCAGACAGGCGCGCCGCGCGTATCGCACGCTGCCGAAACGTGACAGCCTCACTATCCCTATGCTGGTTTCGCGGTCGTATACTGTGCACCACCAGGTACTGGACGTGGGGAACAGTATTGATCTTTCCGAACGAGTATCTAGGACCAATCAATCATGTATGGCGGTATCCGAGTCGGTAGAGGGTCTTAATCTCCAGAGAACTTCATGTTTTTAGTACCCGCTTTTGCGGTGTCCGGTCGAACGCCTTTTTTACGCTCGACAATAAAGTACAACTGCATAACCAGTGTCACTGAATTCGGAGACGTAGTTCAGGTTGTACAGGATCACTTATCGAGGAATCCATGTTGGATTATGGTAAGCAATCTCACAGATAGATATGGCTCATCATTCCGTTTTACTTGTTTTTTTCGAACGATTTGACAAGTATGGGATGTCAGCGGATTGATCAGTACTCATCCATTTTCTTCTTGTGACCACCTTCATGACGAGAGATGATCCAGCGACCTTTCCATCGATCCGAAAGCTAACCAGATTCCAACAATGAAGTGAGCAGATTTAGCAAAGCTGCAGTCTGTCAGGCCTAGTATTACCATGGTAGATGAGCCATAAGTTTATATTCCCCCTCGGAACTGATGAAAACAGTTACCTTATACGACTTGAAACCAGTAATTCTCAGTCGAATGCCGTATGTGTTGTCGCTCAGACGATGACTGACCCCATTTTACTCCTTACTTTAGCCCTCCAAAGAGAACTGTCAAAGGATTCAGCGCCCGTCCGAGCCGTCGATTAATCGATCGAGGACTTCCCTTTTTAACCTACCAATGGGTCGCTCCTCCTCTCGACTGGAAATGGAATATTTTGATCCTATCCCCATTTATCCGGGTCGGTCCGATATACGCGGGAGCCCATCGTTGGGAGTAGAGTTGAATTTAAACCAGTCAAACGGTCGAGTTTGTAAGCGGCTCCAGCCGATCGCGGTACGCTACATCAGGCCGGTCGCAGACACGGAACCAGTGAATAGCCAACGCAACGAACCACGACGGCTCCCAAAAGGACGACTAACTTCTCCGGATATGGTCCCATCTCCTCTGAACAACAGCTCTCAAAGCCATACATATCAAGATCAGGTATGTCTATGGAGTCCAAATATAGAAATTTAACGGATAATGTAAACGGTGGGTACGAGCGCCTTGGGATCTTGCTATAGACTGACGTTAAACTCAATTATTCGTTATTACACGGACAGTATTTCATAAAGGACCTCATTTACAAGCTTGATGTTAGTGCGTTGTCTTCTATTCCTTCTCTGTGCGGTGTGGTTTGGAGCGTGTGGCGTAACCAGTTCTGTCACCGTCCATCACTATGTGGTATACATTCATTACGGAAGAGAAATTTTGCGCTTGGTGTACCCTGTTTTTCACACAACAGCGTCTCATTTCACCGATCTGTCCTAGCCGAGAGCGGGTTTTATTACTCGTGTGAACAAGGGGTGCAGGTTGAACGCTTTCCACCTAACTTCGTGGACGCCTTCATCTGCATATTGTTCTCGGCCCCTATTTTGTCCGACTGACTGAGCCTGCTAACCTTTTACTGGCAATTGTCCAGAAGATAACGACCTACTCATACGAGACAGCTTTTCCGTCTGAACACACAACCAGCAGTCTGCCCGGTCATGCAGCTTGCTCCGTCGGACCAGGTGGAATCCGTAGTTAGGGTCAAGGCGAAGTCCGAGCAACCACTCACGTGATGCACACAGCTGCGTCACACTGGTTTGGCGAATGACGATAGCAAGCCCGCATTTTCAGCACTTAGCTCCGATACTATGGGACGCTGCATGGGCGAATGGAATCACACACCCCTAACAGTCAGCAGCTGATACACGTGTCTGTTTCCCTACTTCTCCTACTTGTGCTTATCCAGCTGGTGGCTGAACTGTTCGTTTAGCCTAGTAACTTTGTTGCGAACGTTATGCCACTCACAACGAGCTGGTTGTTGTGATGACTACCTGTCGACAAACATAGGCGCACAATAAACTATATTTCTCCCATAAATGCCCGAGAAAGGATTTTTCTCACCGAGTAAAAATCACAGACAGACGTTAAGCCAATCAACTGCATAGTCTTTGGCGATAAGTCGTCAGAAACGAGTAGTTATATCGATGGTTACAGATGCCGACAATCACGTTTACAGATGTGAAAACCCCATGCAGTGAAGATATCAGCTGGATCGGTGGCGAAACCTTGACAGTAAAATATGCAAAATATCAGTGAAACGTCCGATCACCGACATCGTCTGTAATCTGTGGGATTAGAAGACAATCCACTGGCTCTTCGTCCGCATCAGCGCCTCTCGTTTGTTTGCAACCGAAAAGGTTGAGCGGTTCCCCAAGCTGGTGATCCTGTGACGGCGAAAGACCAGGCATGTCATGCTGATACGCACTTCTCCTACCTAGAAGCTGAAGTTACTAACCCTCCGATTGTTTACCTGCCCTCTTCTTTTCATTGTCACATTGTATCACACTTTTTAAACTACCGCGCAGATTCTCACGAGGGTCCACTGTTACCAACCTCTGCATAGGAATGTGATTGTACCCTGGGAATATGCTCATAGATGGAGAAGAAAGGTCTGTTGTGCAACATGTAATCGAGTAAATTGTCCTTTTTGTCTTCATGCCCCTCACCAACGATTGAGCAGGAGCGGAACTCTAGAAAGCAAATGGACAGTACCATCAACTCAGTGATTCAAGTTCGTTACGCAGTAATTTATTACGATAACCAGATCAGTGGGATTGCCGGTACTTTATGCTAAACACTGAAGCCCCGGTGAACCGATCTTGCGAAACTCGTGGTACCAGAAACGACACGAAAGTGGAAGAACAGTTAGTCGAAACGAGGTTGTTAAGGACAGACCGTAGCGTTGATGCGTTATCAGATGAAAGCGTTCAACCGACCGAATGTCAACTTTCCACTCGTCCCTCGATTGCACCAGAACAGACAGTGCTTCGAACAGCTGTTGTGACGGATGGCTTGCATCAACGCCAGTGTCACTTACTCAGTCCTTTATAGCCCCAGTGCTTCGTCACCACCCAACCTAGTTGCCTTCTGGAAACTTGAGGCTTAGCAATGGTGCGAAAAATGTGCACCAAATGATAAAGCGGTGGAGGCAACTTGTGGGTTCCAGCACTATTGAGTTTGTTTCTCTGCACCAACTGATCGGCCGTATTGTCCACCACTATTCTGCCTCACTGAACACGCGAAACGCACCGGTAATCACAAACCAATAAGTTCTGTATGTCATCGTCGCATAGCACCTAGATAGCTAATTTTTACAACCTCCTGGACCTCATCTTAGTGTTGCACGATGTTCTCACATGATTTCATTAAGCTTGAATGGTTATTTTGGGAACCGCAGGCAGCTACCGTTCGGCTGGGCTTGGGGGGACTGCCCATTTCGATTCCCTAATGATTTCAGCCAGAAGTTACCAGGTTACCTCAGATGGTTAATGCGATCGTTCACGTGAATACTGCTTTGCCCTAGCCTATCACTGTCGGACACACAACACTTGTAGTCTTAACCTTTCGTTGTTTCTAGGCACAGTGACATACAAATCCGGAAGGGGATGTCACCAGTCACTGCCTACTTGCGAGTCTGATAAACTTCGTTCGACATTGTTGACTCGCGGCGCGCACCTGGCCTTGACTGCTGGTGACCAGATGGGAGTGCTTGAGTTGTCAAATACCTTACAACCTACTTTGCTTAGTAAAGTAGTATCGCAGCGACTCCTGAAATTGCTGTAGTGTCGATTGCCACAGGAGCGCTTTTACTGTATCCAGCGTTTTACTGAGTGCGTCAAATCGGCCGACTATCTCGCACTGTTATTGAGTGAGGGGGTTGGTTGGCGGTGTAGTAACCAAGTCATACATCAGCGCCTTAAACTTTGTGAGCACAAAGCACATTCTGAACTGCTTGTTGCATGATGCAGCATCACACCCCGAGATGGGTGTAAGGTGTACGTTTGCTGTGCCTGTTGGCTGGTCGCTTAGTAAGACCTCAACATCAGAAAAAGAATCCCGAGTAGGGCTGTTTATACTCACGCAAACCAAAATAAGTAAACCAGAGCCAACCACAACTGGCTAGGAACAACCCCACCGGGAATCACGATGGACGCGGTTCAGGTCGAGCACAAATTTCCGTTGACTACCTTCATCTGTAACCAATGCTTTAACAATGCTCTATCGGCCGAATCAAAGAGGATATGCAGATCGAGTGACACATCTAAAGTTGATAACGAAGGGTTGGTCAGTACATCATCCACGGGAGTGACAGTCAGCTTGTCAACTGGCGTCTTTCCATGGCTAGAAAGTCAACTTGTCTACATCGGTCACATGCAGTCGTATTGGGGATGCTCCCTATTCGATTATTGACCCCGTGATTAACGCAAAACCGGCGGTAGAATTTTGATATGTGGCTACCAGTCAAGACCTGGCACTATGTACATGCTTGCCCTGTGTAACATTCCGCGCTGCAGAAAGCGGCTAAACCCGCCGAAGCACTATGGGGTCAGGCAGATCAGAATTTGGCCACAACTTTCAACTTCTGTGTTGTGGCTACTTCTAGAGGATTAGGTGGCTTTGGCTTGTTAAAACGTTCGAACTTTCTCTTCCTCTTGGTTATGCGGCATTCTCCATTGTCATTACCGCTGACAATCGCCTCCAAATAACCCAATACCCATGCTATTTTAGCCCAATGAATGATGCTCGTTATTGCTCTTCATCGAGAATCCTGGTGGATGGTAAATAGCTCCGTCAATGTATGTGCCTAGTACTTTGTGAAGACTCAAGTCCTCATTCCGAAGTTGTCTCCTGATTGTGGTTGCGCTCACAGCAAACATGCCGGGGGAGTATAAAGGTATTAAAAGTTGGGATTAAAAGACGTTGCGCAATATGTCGGCTAGGGCGGCCAGGGTAAAAATACCGAGGGCAAAATGAACTTGCAGACTTGCTCAAAGACACATCGGTGACGTCACTATGATGTTCACATGGAAACAGCTTTAAGTGCACCCACCAAGATATTGTGGGTGAGGCTGTTGGGCTGTGCTAGCCGAGAGCGGGTTGTATTACTCGTGTGAACAAGGGGCCCAGGTTGCACATCTTCTGATTACCTGTATCCAACTTCGTGTTAAGGCTTTTGGGCACATTGCTGGTTTGCTTCACATCACATCCCGTTGTATGGGGATTATTCATATACGGAAGATACGTGAATGTACCCTTGGGTCGTTTTCTGGATGCCGAGAAGGTGAGGGAAAAGAGATAACACAATTCGTAAAAGTGTTCTACGATTGACACACTCTGGAACGTTGTGACCAGCTACACTACATGAACTATTAAGTGGGTGTCACTGCTACCTTTCAACAGATAACCTCACGGCGGTTTGAGTTCTGGAGCTGGTATACTGACATGAAGTCATCCCGCAAGACGCTGGTCCTATCCGCTATAACCCCCATTCTTGTAGCCATTATCCTTGGCTTCTCAAGCACAGCGATTCCGTGCTTCTACGATAATTGAAAAATTTGAATGGTTCATCCTACCTGTTACATCGCATAAGCGTTAAACATTTGCTGAAACATGAAAGCGGTAAGCCATCCGAGTTCGTTTTCGGTTTATTCCGAACAATGACTGTCATCTTGTAAGGTCACTGCTTGCTTACCTTCATGGGAAGCGCGCTGTATACGGTGCTCTTCCAGCTGATGTTCGTGGATACTTTAATGACTATACTCCATACTTTGGACTTGGTCCCAGTAAGTTGAAGATGTTGTACGTCGGCCACTAGTGAGCTTTGCAGAATCACGTTAAAGCGTTCGGTGCTCGACGACATGCAACTTTTGAAACCACCTGCGATGATTGGTAAATTTGAAGTGATCACTCGCGAATTCATTCAGGAAAACCGGGAACGGGCGTGCCCCAGTACTGAGTCGTGTTGTACTCTACTGTGTTCCACACGAGGTGGCCACTTACCATCCACACGTACAATCGTTGACGGTCGGTCCCTATTTGTTTGGACGCTTATCTATTAAGAGTACGCGGTTACAGAGTGCACTTCATTGCTTTTTAAACCACTTAGCCAGCCCAAGTGCCAGCCCAAATCTGAGTTGAGTGCGTTCATGGAAGGCGGATCAACAAAGAAAGAGATGTGCAGAATATCCCTACTGCAGTGCACTCACATGAAGGTAGGACTTCTATACTTGTGTCGTTTGTCGCTCCGCATGTGATTCTACTTGAACTTTCGAAAGCACACTATGGTGAGAGGGTTCAATTACTCCATTTTGAATTGACGCTACAATTTTTGTGCGTCCCATGTAGATGTATGTTGCTATATTTAACATATCTTTTTAGTTGCTTGTTCCTTTCCTCTCTGGCTAACTGTGCCTGCTTTTAGCCGTCAATCATGGAAGGTTTGATGCGATACAACAGCTATGCGGACGAGCTTGATCAATCGAAAAGATCCACCAGCTCAGAAACAGTACACAATGTGGCTCATCTAGGTGCTCAACGCCGAAGGAGGGTGGAATCAGTAGAAATGGATACTTTTTCAGCAGACGCGGTGAGTCACCCAGCACTTATTTACAAATTCTACTTGGAGTCATCCACTAATTGGAACCGAACTAAAAGGTGTCATGCTAACGCACTCTCATTTGCGAGTTGCTATTTTGTTCTCCCTCTACACCAAATCTCCCGGCTCATTAATGTGAAATGAGGTTTAGTGGAGGAAGCATGGGGGATATTGCCGAGGCAAACCACTTTTGATTACGATGGCATGGGCTTGGACCATCTCCGACTGGTGCACTGTCACTTTGCGAACGATTACTCTAGCGTCATTCCCACCTTGATCCACGGTGCACCGCGATTGATAGTTGACGCATCTTTTCAGGTGTGCACGCGAACGCGCTGCATTCAAGAGGTGGGGCACCGGACACCCTGGTAGGCGAAAGCGATCCGTGCATTCGGCGCGTCGAATTAGCGCCAAAGCCTTTTGACTGAGTTTGTATACACACTCATTCACTCGACAGCTTACTTTAGTGAGCTAGTTTAACCAAAAGGAGTGTCTTCTAATCGGGGTCTAGAGTGTATCATTGGAGTTAGCGAACGCAGTGTCATGGGCGTCTAACTGACAAATCGCTACGCCCCATATTTATCCGGCTAAATGTACAAGACATAAAGCGCCTAAAAAATTCGTACTAAACAACCAGGTGTTGGATTCCACAGTGCCAACTAAACTGCCTCGGGCATCCCATCACAAACAGGAATTGTAATCCGACTGGCATGAAGCCAGTATCAAGTGCGTGTCTAGCATCAGCTTTTGAAGATATACGAGAACCACCTTGGGAACAAATATTCACTTCGGCTGTTATTCTTCTGTTGCTGTTTTTTGTCTCTGTGGAGAAGAGAGCCGAAGGGATATTACGTTATGGAATAGTATTCCAAGGATGGACCTGTGTCAGATCGTGGTTACAAAAATTACATTCATTTATCTCCACTAACAAGACTCCGTTTCATTTGTGTGTTATTGACACTGCGCCCGCATGTCACTCATAACCCATCGAGTAAGCTCACTCCGAAACGAGAATAGTTACGACATTACAGACACTAATTTTTTTTTTAGATATTCATGGGTCGCCTCAGAAAGTTTGGTCCTTAACATGTAAATTCCATTGCAAGTTAACATGGAGAGTGCGGTACGTTTAGCTCGCCATTTATGGGCTGTGAATACAATACAGAAACTTCGTCCGCCCTTCTTTAACAGAACCATACGAACTGCTCATGTGATGTCGATGTAAAGGTTTTCTTAACGCTTATTCCGAATCATTTACGAGTAAGAAGATGGGTGCCAGCTGAATGGTTGGCGACATCCGGTTTCGGATTTGCCTGTCACTGTGGCCAGACACAGGATGCCTGCGCCTGTTGAGGGACCATGAGTGGCTTGCGCTGTACCACCCACACTTCCATCCACACACCTCGTATCCAGTGTAAACCCGAAGGAATAAGACCGGGAGGCAGGTGGATGGGAGCCACGTTTCATCAACGAGACCGGCCCACACTCCTTCACAGGCAATCATAAGCACGCTGTATTTGGGGAATTAAGCGCACACAAGGCGGTGGCTGGACCGTAGTCCGCTCCACACTGAGTGCATGGAACCACTCTTTGATCCTAGCACGGCCACAAGGATCGTGCACCCCGTCCCCTCCAGCAACGACCAACTATCTCCTGGAGCCCTTATGGACGAGGTAGTGGGTACTAGACAGGTAGGCACCTTGTCAACATTCACATCAAGCGCAGCCACACCGGGGATATCAAGCAACAGCCAATCACTTGAAACGACGATATCAAGTAAAATAAAGCGAATAATGTATACAGATACGGTGACATAACTCTTAACTAAATGAGCGTATGAAATAAATTGGTTGCACCAAATCCGCGAAAGGTTCAATAGGTCAGCAAATATATATTAAGAAAATGTCACAACCGCGAAAATGTTATCGAAGTTAACCACAATTAGCTTAAGCGAGGTGTGCAAGTTTATAGAATATAGTTCAGGTAGACATTAATATGAGCTAAAAAAGCATTAGGACAGTATAGCAAACCCACCACCTGAAATAAAGAGACTCAGCATGCAAGCAGGCGGTTAGTAAATCGAATGCAGCGTACCTACAAACGCTGCGCCGGTTGTACTTACGTTCTCTGCAGGACCCGTCGTCGCTTCGGTGGTGACCCCGAGTGGCCTCGCTCATGGCTCACTAGGCCTGTCTGACTCAGGCAATCGTGACCGCATGTGCTACAGCACAATGAGCTCGATGTCGATGGTATACAACCCATCGTCGCCTATCGCTTCCGCAATTGCCGTTTCTTCACTGTATGCACCAAGGTTTTCTCTTGCATTTTGGCAACGGCCTTCGTGATCACATCGGCCAGGCACGTTGATCAACCGTTTTCGATTCCCATGACCTGCAGTCAAGATTAGAACGTGAGAGGCTCACTTCGATCATGTTCTAGTAACGTAACTTCGGTTACCCACATGCCACTTCCCAATATTCAGCTGACCATATGAGAGTTTCGGCATCCAGGTCGAATGCATACGGCTCACGTGATCGGGCCACTTCAGGTGTTGCATCAAAGTATGCAGCCCACTGCATACATTTCACTTCGACGCAACACTTCCGTGTCCGCAGCTCTGTCGCGGGAGAAGTTCACCTCTCGATGTCTGCCGCTCAATAAAGGTGCCGTAGTAGATACTATTAGCCTAACAATGACGAAGACCGCACCCTTACGACTCATTTACACGTTGAACTAATGCTTGCTCGCTAGCAGTCGGATAAGCTACTTGTGCATGTGGTCCCACTTTGTATACGAATTCAATGGCTCCAGTATGATGACCTACGTGAGCTGCATTAAACGTTTGAACGGGCCAAATAGCTCCACCCGAAGTGGTGTGCTAGCGGCCTAGTCTAAGCCTATTCGACGGTTGAAGCACATCACATCGCGATGTTGTCTGAGACGTTTCTTCGTGCCTACTACATTACGAGGTCTCGATCCACGAAGGCAAATGTTATTTTCCGGCAGTCGCACAAGTAGTTGCAATCCATCCGGGTCCGATTCCCATTTCGAGTATCGATGCCTGAAGTGGACGAACCCGCACGACATTTATCAGCTCGACACGCACTCACGGCCCCAGCAACCGGTTGGGTTCGCAGATCATAATCTATCCACACACCGAGAACTCCAAGACAAACAGACACTGAAGCCCCATGCGTTCACGATGTACTTAGTGGAAGTGCACAAGCAGTTAGCACAGTTGAGGCATCTTCGCACCCTAGAGAGTTTGTGGGACATATCAACCTTGAAATGGTTTTGTCCAACGGATGAGATGTTCCCTCGCCACATGCTCTGGTATCTGTTAGTTAGCGGCTATCGATTTAACGACGCATCGAGAATGGATTAGTTAGCTACATTGGTTTTCTTACGATCCACTTGGAAATTCACTGGAAATAGTCGAAAAGAGACAAAGCATTGAAATTATAGACCCCACCCCCAGTTTCTGAAACACTTTCGCGTTCTAGTAGCAAATTCCATAATTTCCTCCATACCTCCACGTTTCTCTGCACTGATCAAAAACCATACCATTCTCTGTCTCAGCTGGATCCAACGGTCTATAACCAGGTCGTTATGGTCTTTCAAGAAGGAACAAAGCCTAGTTAACGGCAGTGTATACTACTGTGTTCAGAAACAAACCTAAATTTTATGATAGCGCGCCAACCGACGGAGGGAGCGCGCTGTTCCTACTGAGGGCTCGTAGAGGCTTGTTTCGACAGGTATTTGCAGCGTTTCTCTCTGACCGGGACCTTAATAGCCCTAGTGCTCTCCTTCTGCTAGTTGACGCACTATTACAAAGCTTCGGTTTCTTTTTGAAGACAGTAGCACTTTGGCTAATGAGAGCTTTCAAGAGCCAACCTGGCCTTTAAACCGCGAGAGTTCAGCCATGACCCTGATCATAAAAGAAATTCTCTACCCATCGACTTGATAGGTGATCGGTCTGCACGTAACGTTCTGGTTGGACCGGCTTACAAGCATTGCAGTACGACCAATTACGGTGTGCTTGAGGTCAGGTGGACTGTATACGCAGATCACCGTCCCCAGTAGTTGTCTAGGGGATAATGAGAAGCGGCTAGTCTGTACGGTCCATCCACGATGACCGTAGTTGACACAATAATGACGAACTGAAAGCACTGATGGCACACATCGGAATGCGGTTAAAAACGTTTACTCTGAAGTCATTCGCCGTCGTGGGTCCAGCGTTACAAGAACCAAACCCAAAAGGCGACCTTGACTCCGAACGGACGCACATCATATACATAAACTAGGGCTCATTTAGGTCATTCTGACCGCCTGATATGTCTACCAATCTTGTTTAACTTAGGGTGTATCGCAGCTAGTACCAAATGCCTAGTGAGTTGTCAGGTGGTCCTTGGCTACTCCATCCTCAGCAGTGCATTGTGTGGCGTAGGGATAACAATCCTAGGCCAACACCTACCTAACTCCAGAGTAGCATCCCCTCTCACAGACGTGTTAATCCTGCTACAGTTTTTTTGAAGCACGGGGGGATAAGATTGTGGAATTTATAGCAATTAGGGCGCTCTCCTGCATGCTGCTTGTCTGGCTGTAGGCACTCGTGATGCATACTACTTAAACTGCCTTTTAGGCCGCTGCCATTCTTCACTACCGGCTCCTGGCGGTATCATTTGGTCTAAGCTGAGGTTGTGTACACTATCCATTGCGATATTGGCCTTGCCAACTGAATGTGGGAGCAATCTCTCACACTGTCCATACATAAAATAGTTTATTTATTTGTTGCTTTATGTACAGTTTTACCCCCCCCCCCCCTTTCTGCAGTAGCCTGCCGTTTTGTCCCATGTTGAGGCAGTTAGGACCGTTGAAACATCTCTCTGTCTTCTCACTCTCTCAGAATCGGTCACACCCTGTGGGTAAACCGCGTTCTCACGATCACCGCGAACGGAGAAACTACACCCATAGACATTCTCGTCGACGAAGATCATCACACCGATGTGGCACAGAGCAATGGGATGAAGTGTGATCTTGGTCAGTGGATAAATTCATTTTCCTTGACTGTGTAGAAGCATTCACTTGTGTATTCATGTTCGCGGCTTCATTGCACCAACTATCGATCCTTTGTAACCTTGGGGAATTTTATATTTTTCTACTGGCTTCAACAGCTAAATACATATTTGTTGCCTCGGTGATTTTACCTCTTCTTACACGGGGCACAGGCTCGTGTGCTCTTCGTTTAGAGGTCGGCAGCATTGAACTCGAAGTTGGCGGGCTGCGCGCCAACCAATATCGATCGCAATTATCTTTCATTGCATGCGACGGGCAAACTTCGACTGCGCATGCATGTGCTAAACTTGGCTGTCGTACCGAGCGCGGAATCGGCCGATTGTGGCTAATGATGAGAAACCAAGCCCCAGCAACGGATGACAGGCCGGATTCAGTGGGACGGGCATCGCGATTTGTCCGGTGTGTACGTTCACCAACTGAACGTAAGTGCAAGGCTTAGCACTTGCCCCAATCGATCCGAACTAGGTCACTTGTTATGAAGAAATCCTTTTCACAGCCAGCCGTGTAGATTGCGTTGATCCGACCCTGTAAGTGTTCGGGGTTGCTTCGATCGCGCACGCAAGCTAGCCTATGAATTCATGAAGAGGTTACTACGAGTGACTCGTGGGCATATCAGACCACCATTAGTCTTTTCACGTATCATGAAGCTGCTAGAACGTCTTACTAACTGAGTTGGTATCAAGTGAACTAAGTATAGCCTTCAACCAGTAGTAGTGACCCACCAGACTGTATGGAGGCGAATGTCAACTCAACTGATGACGCGCAACTGGTCACCATTGTCTGTTGGTGAATTAATTTTCCGGGAATGGATTAAGTAGCGTTCATATTTTAATAGTGACCGTGATATCTATCTTCAGAGTTGTCTGGCACTAAAATTGCAAACAGCTGCAGTGCGCATGCGTATACACAGGAGCCATACGTAGCTTACGCAACATCACCTACGATTACACCTGAAAACTGGACTGAGAAGCAAGCAGATGAGAGCCACAATTGATTCAGAGTCAGCCCACACTCCATCAGCGGACAGAACAATGATGAAAAGTTGCCAAATGCACACAGAGCAGGGAATGGGCAGCAGCCCGTTCCGTGAGGGCGCCTGTCTTTGAACTCAACGCTGGCACGATGACTGTTAGCAGCCAGATTGAGTCGTCAGTCGAACCCACAACATCAGACGGACGGGTCCCATGTGAACGCTGGCATGGAGCACAGCCAGCCTCAGTGCATCGCGCGGAAAAGAACATCAGACCCACGTCACTCTTGTAAGTGCCACCTTACTGAAACGATGTCTCATCAGCCACAAATGTGACATCCACACAACGGAACTGCGAGATCAGCATGACTACCTTCATGTGCTATATTACTTAAGTAATAGCACCGAATAGCGGAATCAATTTTATTAGGTACCGTTAAGCTTATACCACCGAGGTTGCTCGTAGTTGGTAAATTGCATCATTATCCTCAGACCATTAGTCTCTGGTTTGGTACTTTATACTATGGATTTCAAGACGTGAATACCAGTCAAATGTCCACCTGCTAGTTGCATTCGCATAACTTACACCTTTGATAGACTTCGCAGACAGACCGCATCCCAGTGCTAGTGGCCCCAATAGTGTCACGCCTCAACGAAACCAATTAGCTCTCATGCGGTTGACCACAGCAGAGCCTTCAAATTTGGCCATGCTCTACGATCCCTTTCTGTGGAATTCTTAATGCACACACTTTTGGTCTCATACCGACTATCGTATTTTCACTTTTTATCCGGCCACAATTGTTACCATGTTGGCCTATAAACTGGAGATTTTGAAATCGCCGTGTGTTTCTGCGCTCACAAACTGTGCCTTTCCCAACGGCCAAATTATAAAAAATAAAATTATTTGAAAAAAACGCAATATATGTATAAGAAACCAACGTGCTGGGTGGAAAGTTGCTTTTTGGAGGAAATATTGGAGTGTATGTTCATACCTGTCTTGCTTCAAACATCCTTTAGTTTATATGCAAAAGGAGTAAATGAAAGAGTACTACCAACTCTGTAGAATATTCGCAGCTAGACCTCATTTGCTGCAAGAGATCTGGTTTCACGAGGAGGTGGATAACGCACTTGTATTGGTAGAAGAGTCCATTATCATCGGGTCGACCACCCTTGTGCATACCGTCCTCGTTGTGTTGTAGTCACCATTTACACCGACACATCCTGGTGCATATCTGCGAAAGTTTGATTTTGCTTCTCTTCTCAACGCATTACTTGCTTAGTTCTGTGGTGTAAGCCAAGTTGTATCAGTGCGTACCGCTTAATCTTACTGGCAAACATCTATATTTCCCCGCACATGTCCGAGACCTGAAGCAGAGGCAGTTTACCATGAGTTTACTGCGGCTGTCATAGAGCACATCGACTATACGTTAACAACATGTAACGGTTCTCCATGTGTGATAGGGCGCCGTTACGTAGCTCGGATCACTCAACAGTTAAGTATGTTTGGTAGTCTACTCTAAGACAAACCATAAAGGGCTACTAGTTGTAACGATCGCAAGTTCAGGTTGAGACATTGTTCCACAAAGTATATTGACCAACTGCGATAAATGGCATCATGCACCGACTTCGGTTTATTTGTTATCAATGATATATCCACGCATCGCTACCAGTTGATAGGCTACCTGAAGTTCTGTTTCGACATTTGTTGTCCATGCGAGACTCCGTTATTCCTTGCAGGCGGGTTCACTTCTCACCTGAAGCGACTGCGTAGACGAATGGAGAAAGCCTTCTAAAGAAAAGCCAAGATCTCAGTAACATTTCTCTCTTAGGAATAGTAGCTATTGTGAACTCTAGAGGAGGTTAAAACAACCACGCGATCCTATTCGACTAACATCGACTTCCGAGTTAGATGTGGATAAACTGGACCATAACTTCTGTAACTGCTACAACTATCTGATCTCTCAACCATCTTTCGCCCAGCTTAAACTGTCTGCAGACTCACTGCCCCCTGTCAACAACGACACTGAACACGTCAATGAAACAACTTCGATCGGGGAAAGCAGGTGGTCCAAACCGACTGTCTGCCGTTGTCCTCAAGGAATGTGGTCACTTTCAGGCCAAATCTCTGGCTGCTTTACACCCATTACGCATTCAACACCACAAAATTGCCGACTGATGGAGGGGGTCAATATCCCAGCAATATCAAAGAAGGGCTCAACCAAATATCGGCCAATTGTCCGTACTTCTGCAACCCTAAAGGTGTTTGCAAAAAGTGTTTTTGTGAGAATAGTGACACAAGCGGTCAAATAATGCGCTTCAATTTGCATACCGCAGTTCGAGATCAGCCTAAGGCGCAGTGACCTGCATCCTGTATTTGGTTCTGTCATCACTGGACAAAAGAAGTAAGTTCCCCCGAGTCTGTTTTCTAGACCACAGCAACGCTTTCGGCCGTGTAAACCGTGAATTACTGACGAACTATCCACTCGGTGCTGTAATAAATCCTCCCATCGGTGGTGTGTAGAGAGATCATTTTACCAGTCGTACTCAGGTGACCCGATTTAGAGGCAGATGCCCCTCGCCCCTAATCACAAACCCGGATGTCCACCAGGGAGCTATTCTGTCACTGTTTCTCTTTTTCACTTATGTTGCCCAATATCAGCTCCTGAAGAGGGGATCCTACTGAAGTACGCTGATGACATTGTCCTGGGCGTCGAACGTTCCACCACTGTTTCTTTTTTCTCTTTACTGAACGCACATTTTGATCAAACGCCCGCGAGCTGCCGCCTAACGTGTCAAAATGCAATGCTGTCGTTTTTTCACTGCACAGAGGAGATCGATATCAACAGCTTCTCCAGCACTGCTCCAAACTCCACATCAATGGCGTGAGGTTGTACTCCTCCACATCAGTAAAGTACGTCGGCTACATGCCTAGAAATGATCCATCTTTGTCGCACCACATGAACGAAACGGTCACAAAAGTCAACCTTCTACGTTTCCAGTGTGCAAGTTTCCTCTGCCCCCCCCCCATGATTTGATACTTCGTTTTGTCACTGCATGTGTTCTTCCATACTGGACGCAATGCTCATCAGTGACATTTCCTTATCTACTGAATGAGGACTTCAGATTGTCAACATACTTGTCACGACGTAGCGGTGCATCAAAGCGGACTTTTGTTGACATACTTGTTTCTACACAAACCGGTTCTTGCAAGAGACTAGCCTGGACAGTACTTGCCGACACAAGTCACCCCCTTTCAATGTATATTGTCGGAATGTGTCTCAATCTCGTCAACCTGATAGAAGTACAAGTCCATACGTTCTTGACAACGAACAGGACATTCGTCAGTTATCCCTTACCCAGCACTGTTTTTGCTAAACCAAAGCAAAGTTGTCCAAGAATTAACAAGCAGGATTATGTCATGGTACTATTGCTTTTTTCCATTTATTCTGCTCCATTTTTTTTGCATTTATATCATGTCGCGTCGCTGAAAGGGGGTGTGTTACGGCTGAATATTCACCCGTTCTGGATCCATAAAGCACTTTCTTGACTTGATTATTGCTTTGCCACATGACTGATCTGATTCGGACAATGCGATTGGACTAATAGCCTTCTGGCCGAATTAAGAAAACTGCACGCTATAGAGGTGAGGGGAAATGCGAGCACCTGCGATGGCATTTCGACGAAGTTTGGCTACGCAAGTGTGTAAAGTAAACTTGAAGAGGGATCTCGCTTCAAAAGGGGAGAATGTGTCCGAAATTAAGTGGTTTGACGGCTTCAGTTAGGTCTGAAAGCAATCTGTTGGCTTATTTATCATACAATATAGCACATCTGTGGTACTAATCTTACCAGACCAAGTTTCGCATTTGGTTGCAAGCTGGGACTGGGAATAAGATAGCCAATGGTGGAGCCAATGTTTGATTACATTGACAGATCACGGTGTCTTCTTTGTTGTTTTAGTCAGAGAGACCGGTACGACTGAGTCACAGTAC